GGTATAAAGGCCTAGCCTCCTTCTCTAAGTTAGGAYGACTTCATAAGGACATCTCAGCCCCATCCTTAGTGTGAAGCTGACAAAATCCAATTTTTTCTTCTGTCCAATTCTACTTTCATTTCCCCACAGGTCCCCTCTCTAGAGCACTCCTCACAAAGGATTTAGTCTCATATTCTTTTTCCTCGGAAACACGACCTATAAGACAACATGCTGATTATTTTTAAAATTCTTCATKCACCACAGCTTGAATTATGTCAAATATGTTCTAGATTTTCTTCCTTCAACCTAAGCTAACTCTTTGTTACCATATTAAGACCAGTGGGGTCTAATGTAGGGATTGAATCCTGCTATTAAGACTTGGTATGATTATTTGGACAGTTAAACACTAAGGTCTAAATTCCACACAACTTTTTATAACCCATAGAAGCAGCTTATCCCCCTCGCCCTTCCCACACTCCTGATGATTCAGATTTTTCCTTGTTAACCCACAATAACAAGGACCTAATGGTTCCAGAATGGGAAGAAAAATGTGACCTATCTTATAAATGATTTGAATAAGGGTAAATTTGTTTCAAATGCTCAGGGATAACATAATTCACTTGTTTCTTTGTTTATAGACTACGTTTTCTGCAAAGATTCAAAATTCAAATGATGTTGTTTAACTCCCCCCCTTTTSTATTCCCTAGGTTTCTCCATGTTAAAGGTTCTGCAGTTAGGAGCCATGGGTCAGATTCATGCCACTTCCTATTTTATTTTTCTTTGCTTAGAAAACAAGATATTTTTAGAAAGATGAAATAAATAGTGCTGGTTCTAAATTCAATTGTGAAATAAAGTTTGTCCATGATGAGCCTCTTCCTTTTTGTGTTGGACTTTCCATTGTGGCTTCTCCTCCCCCAGCTCTGGGGACCTCCTCAATCTATTGCCAGTGTCTTGTGTACCCCTCTCCACAGGAAACTCTTCTTCTTTATCCAGATTTCTCTGTTCTGCTGCTCCCTGACCATGGCCCAGTCTAGTGGCGTCTATGTTTCCCTGTGATAGAAAGTTCTCTGTTCTACAGTTCATCACCCAAGGCCAAGTTTACTCTGCCCTTAGGAGGCACCATTGCCTGCACATCCCTAATTGGTTAATAAATGTTTAAATGGATAGATGAGAATATGAATCAGTGAATGCTTTCCCATAACACACCATTCAACACCCAGTCCTACCTACTATCCACCCAAGGGCATGTGTATTAACCAAGGTCTGATGAAGACAACCTTCCTTTGTAGCATGACCCAACTAGGCACATTGGGAGAGGAATCTTCTGACAAATGGGTGCTAATTATATTAACCATGTGTTTCTTGATGTTTTCACATTTGGGGCCTTACTGACCCTGGAGAGACCCATTCCTTCCTAGAGTTAACAACTTATTTGTTAGCAATCTTTTATATGCAAACCAACCAATCTAGAGTCCTTACCTTGACCACCTCCCTATAGGACTCTCAGGGCTTTCACACTTGGGGAGCTCACTATCTACCTGCCCTAATCACCCATGAATGGGTTTCAGGCAATTAAGGACAGCTCCTGTGTCTGAGAGCTTGGGGAAGCTATTCAAACTTGCCAGTCCTCAGCATCTTACCCTTTCCTGCCCACTGCTTTCCCTGGAAACCACAAGGAGCTTTGGCCTGTGTTTCCCCCTTGCTCCTTCTACCTCCTGACCCACCCTGGTGCTTCTCATGCCCATTATATAACATGCTCCTTCCTTGGGAACTGTGGATAACAAGTGATCTTTTCAGTGGTAATTGTTTCCTGATCTGTAGGCCTCATTATACCTGAGTAAAAGGTTCATTTTAAAACAGTTATTTTGAATACTCTTCCAGTCCAGCTGTGTTCCCCGATACTGGAAGCATTCAGTCTCCACTGTAACTGAATGAAGATAATTTTCTATACGTTATAAAGATTTCTACTTTGGGTAGAAGGTTTGACCTAACCATATAGAGTAGCCTCTTTTTCATAGTTTTACTTTCTGCAGCAGTCATGGTCAGAAAATATCGAATGGGAATTTCCAGAAATAACCAATAAGTTTGAAATAACTTGCACTGTAGCATATTGTTAGAGTTGTTCTATTTTATAATTAGCTATTATGTCATAAGTATATACATATAGGAAGAAATGTAGCATATTTAGATTTCAGTACTATCCATGGTTTCAGGCATCCACTGGAGGTCATGGAAAGCAAAATAGTGAACCTTTATTAAGCACTTACTATCTGCCAAGTGCTATACTAAAAATATTAAATGCATCACCTTATTTACTCTCCACCTCTGCCTTCCACAACAAAAAGCCATTCTGCCAACAAGAAAACTTGAGTCTCAGAGAGGCTGTGTAATAAGCCAAAAGCCACACAGCTAAAAATACCACAGGTAAAACTTAAAACTTGTTCTCTCCTTTTAAACACCCTGCCCATGAGCTAATCCATTTAAGAAAAATCTAGGAGGAGGCCTCTCCTTTTCCATAAGGTCTGACAATTGGAGAAATGACAAACAGGAGAGGCAATAAAGTTTAATTTTTTTAATTAATTCAGTTATTAAAAGATTAATAACCAAACTTTATATGTGTCATCACCTTGAGCTCTCATAAAATCTGATGAATTATTGTATTATATTTGAACTGAAGTTCCCAAAGTCACAGAAGATGTGAAAGTCAAACACAAACTTTCCTGTCATTGCTCTGAGACCTGCCCCACTTGCATGCCTTCTTTCTATCCTAGACTTCCAAATCTTCTAAAGTTTTATTGCATAACATCACTGCTTCCTTCATACTTTAAAGCAAAGGAGCGGCAGCTTGACAGTGAAAGTCAACAAGTGATTCCATGATGAAAAGTAGCTGAGATGTGTCCAGATTTTCCAAGAACAATGTACCCTGGGGTGAATTAATATAGTCTCTGGAAGAAGTTGCCCAGAGACAGGGCTAGAAATTGTGGAAGTTTATAACACTATGTCAGATCTTTAGTGAATGGATGAGAACCTATAGAAATCCCTTTATTTAAAGAAGTTCCATTCATTGGGCACAAGTACTGGTAATGGAGATAGGCGAAAATAACTGGCAGTTTTGGACAACTACAAGCTGAGAAGGAATCACTCAATTAAATACTTTAAACATGCAAATACACATATGTAATAAAATAATATATAATAAAATTGCTGTTGAATGCCATCAAGTAGCAAAATAGACTGTAGAGATGTTAAAAATCTATATGGCCAGGGTTGACCACAGGCATGGGGGCCTTTCTAGCAAAATAATTGAAAACGTAACTGACTATCAAGCAAAACATAATTCATGGGTCCTACTGAAGTTTGGGGTCTGAGAAATTGAAGCAAGAAAGAGGAAAAGTTGGAAAGAAGGAGGAGAGAAAAAACAATTTATTGAATCAAATAACTTGGAAATGTTAAAAAAAAATGATAAAACAATTGGCTTATGAGTACCAGACAAAAGGAGGCTGGATTAGAGGGCTTAGGAGCTGCTTGAGCAAGTCACTGAAAGTGTCTTTTGGGGATAGGACTGGGCAGCCATGAGGAATTTCCATGGAGATGGTAAGAAGAAACAGCTTGCCTGGCGGAGGACCTTGGCTGGGGGATCAGTTAAGACTCTGGCTCACAGGATGAAGGCCGTCTTCTGGGATTCGCCTATCCTAGGACTGTTTTCCAGCTTCCAGCATGAGGCTGTTGGGGCGATTTCCTGCAGCCCTGGGATGGACAGATGACCCCTCAGAGCCCTTGGCTCTCATGTGGCTGAGGCATGCCATCCCGGCTGCACTCAAAGGCCACGGCCAGCTGCTGGCTCCCCACCCAGGGGCTGCGGAGTTTTCCCCACAGAAAGGAACAACCAAGCCTTTCACTCCCGGGTCCCTCACTTGGACGGGGCTGTAGGTGTACATCTGTGGTTTTTCAGTTCTTTAGCACTTAGGCACTTTTCTGCAGAGCCAAGGGCCTTCTGGGAACAGTGGAGCATCTGTGTGTTGACAGTAACGACCTGCRGGCCAGAGACACTCAGCCAAACTCTCCCTCCGCTCCAGGAGCCGGACTGTACCCCTCACCTGCAGTGAGCCCCAGCCTGCCCAGCGCCTAGTGYCCCCCTTCTCTCCCTCATTGACTTCCTAGCTCCTCTGCCACGTTTGTACCAGTTCTCACCAGGATGGTCTCTACCCACCACCCATCCCACACACAGAGTGAACAGTCACATGCATGTGGCTTAGGGCCCGCTGCTAAACTGTGAGCGCTGAAGGGTGAGGGACACACGGCTCGGCTGGGCAGCTGGGTGTTTACAAAAGGTTCGGCCTGCAAAGAGATGCCAGTCTTCTCCTATAACATCATTGCCTTTATTTATTAGACGGGTTGTTGATTTACATGGGGAATTGGGGATGCTAAACAAGCATAGAGTTTTCACATGGTCTGTTTATGCTGAATTCAGAAACTTGGGGACATCATTTAACGTCTGACAAAAACACAGAAGAGTGCTTAAAAGCCATCCTTTGATTCTTGGCCCTGAGTCAGAGAGAGACGGGCGCTTATGAAGGAAGGTCGAGTTTCAATCCTTAGACAGCCTCCAAACAGCAGGAACTATGTTGTGTGGATCATGTGAAGTAGGCAAACTCAGTACTAATGATACATTGCAACAATTTCTCTCTAGGAATGGCTCTCCTTCATACAGGTGTCATAGGATTTCTAAAGCTGTCCACCATGGGTGGGCCTACACAGTATGAATGTGCAATAGCAAAATAGGTGAGTAGCCAGAGAGTAAAGGGAGTTTAAAAGAAAGAAGAAAAGCCAATGAGATTTTTAAGGAACAAAATGGAATAAATTCTCTCTCTCTCTCTCTCTCTCTCTCTCTCTCTCTCTCTCTCTCTCTCTCTCCATGAGTGGTTGAAAGTCCTGGTGAATGTGTTGTTTGGTATCCCTCAGGTTTAAATGGCCTGTTTTTGTTCAGCATAAAGTATGTGGTAATAAGTGGAAATACCAAGGAGAAGTCAGAGTTCCACTTTTGGAGTTTTTTCTTCTGATGTTCGATTTTCTCTCTGAAAAACATCATAACACTGAAATTTAGATTTGGAGTTAATTCTTGCTTTAGGCTTAGAAAACTAGGCCATTTTGATTACTTTGGGAAGTGCTAAATCATTTTCAATTTTTATCTCATGAGCTCTTTTATACGGATTTTGATTCATTTCCCATTGATACCTTAAGCAAAATGGCAAAATTCCAAATTCAGCTCCTTTGAATATGCAATACTTTTCCAAAAATACTTTGTTAGTTCTATTCCCATAACTAGTTCTATTCCCATAACTGTTCCCATGAGCATCCCGATTCTGACCAGCATACACCCTTATATTCATTTGCTATTGATCAGATCCACTAGTGCCCAGAAATCTTATTCAGAAGGAGAAAATGCAAACTGTTTTACCTGTACCCTCACACTTACCAACAATTTCCCTTCTAGAAATCCATCACAAAAGTTTTTCACATGCTCCACTGTAACTTCAGTTATAGGCAGTGTATCCCACTGATCATCAAAAGTTCGGTAAATTGCCAAAGCTGGCAGCTGAGACTTCTTTAGTTTGAAAAATGATATCACCTTTTCATTTTCCTTCATACCACTGTCCACCAGAACAAAGAGAATCTGCAGTTGAAGAAGTTTGAAAATAAAAAGCTCTATCAGAGATCCTGGGGATAAACAGATTATTTGTAATTGTTGTCGTTTACACTGATTAAACTTATGGTGTCATGTCAGTTAAATCTCAGTTTAAATCAAAATAAATTTTGTGTTGCTTTAGTATTTTATTCCTTTGGTCAGATTTATTTAATTTTGAGCACACAGAATTGGAAGAGATTTTATTGATTCTAAGGGAGGAAGTGGGGCCTACAGGTTAAAAGCAAAGAACAAATTTTAAATTTTACCTCTGGTATATTTAGTTGTGTGGCTTTTGGCCTATTATACAGCCTCTCTGGGACTCAGTTTTTTTTTGTTGGTAGAATAGATTTTGTTTGGGGGCAGTGTGGAGAGTAAATGAGGGCATTTAATATTTTTAGTATAGCATTTGACAGATAGTAAGTGCTTGATAAATATTAACTATTTTGCAATCACATTCCAAAACCCCTTGTGGATGCCTGAAGCCTCGGATAGTACTGAAATCTAGATATACTACATTCCTTCATATACATATATTCTTTTGATATAATAGCTAATTATAAACAATAAAATAGCTAATTGGAACAATTCTAACAATATGCTATAGTGAAAGTTACTTCAAACTTCTTATTTCTAAAAATGTCCAATATTTTCTGACCATGACTGACCATAGTGAAACTATGAAAAAGGGGGCTACTGTATATTGTTAGGTCAAACCTTCTATCCAAACTAGAAATCTTTATAATGCAGTTGAGGATCATCTCCATTCAGTTGCACGGAATGCTCCCAGGGTTAGGGGAGCTGCCTTCAGAAGGGCAACTGACTTTATTATCGGCTGGTTGTCATGGTTAGAAAGGTCTCTAGCTGAGCAGCCTTGAAGTAGTTAAGTTTTATTGTTTTGGAGATATCAAGCAGAACTTCATGAAGGAGGAAAAGGGAAGAAATAAGTATTTCTTGGCTATCTAGTAGGTCCCAGGGCTCAACAGGTGTATATGTGGAGTAAACCCTAAGGTCCGTCTCAAACTTGATGAGAGTATGGTGGGGGGTATTAACAAATGGTGACTAGTAGGTGATTTTATTTTCTGTATCTTTATGTCTCTATTTTATTTTATTTATTTATTTATTTATTTATTTTTACTAAGTATATATGCATTTTATTTTTATTTTTTTTATTGTTGGTTGTTCAAAACATTACATAGTTCTTGACATATCATATTTCACACTTTGATTCAAGTGGGTTATGAACTCCCATTTTTACCCCATATACAGATTGCAGAATCACATCGGTTACACATCCATTGATTTACATATTGCCATACTAGTCTATTTTATCCCCATCTATCAATGCAGAAAAAAATATCCTTAACCACTGTGGGAAAACATGATTATATAAGCCTTTAATGTTACCAAACATAACATGTTTGATTTCAAATGATGCTATTTTTTTATGACCCACTCTTTCTTGATTTCTGAAACATACTGGCTTTCCTTATTTATCTCTCCTTCCTAGCCCCATCTTTCTTCTGGTGTTATTTATTCAAATGTCATGTCCCATTCCCAACTTACCTTTCCCTGGAAGAGCCTAGCTGCTTTCTGGTATCTGTTCATATTCTCGGCGTACTCTGGAGATGCTTTGCTTATCACCAGGAGAAGATGAATCTCAATCATGGTGTTAAATAGGCCAAACCCAGTCTGGCAAGTGTGTTATAGTAGAAAGAGAGAAAGGGGGGAGGCATTAGTGTCAATTCAGTGAATGGTAACACAAATGCAATTGGCCTCCAAGATAGCTCTCAAAAATCTCCCCACCTGTTTTTTTTTTTTTTTTTTTTCATGCATCCGTGTAGGTCCCTCTTTCCCACACTGCAGAGGTTGGATGGAGAAACCAAGAGGATATTGTAGAAATGATGGAGTGTGACTTTGAGGTCATAAAAGTCATCATAAGTTCTGCCTTGCTCTTCCCAATATCCCTCACTCTGGGGAAAGCCAGCCACCAGTGTGGTGCACTGAAGCAGCCCTATGGACAGATTCACAGGGCAACAGTGGGGACCAACTTGCCAGCCACATGAGTGAGCCCTCTTGAAAGAAAATCTTCCAGCTCTACTCAAGCCTTCCARTGACTGCAGTCCTGACCATTGGCTGCAAACTCACCAGAGATGCTAGAGCAAGAAGCACCTAGCCAAGACACTCCCAGATGGTTGACCTACAGAATTGGCATGAGATAATCAACATTTACTGTCTCAAGCTAAAATTTTAGAGTAACCTGTTACATGAAATAGACAACAAATATGCCATGAAACATATCAGTCGCTTTTTTTTCCAACTCCTTTTCATGTTGCAAAAGGAACACTTAAAATATGATTCTTGACTACAAATTAGTTGAGCATACTTATTGAATATTTATTATGTGCAAGGAACTGTCTTCAGCTTTTATTCTTATAATAACTAATTGAATCCTTAAGATCCTGGTTTTTCAAGTGAGAAGACTGAGGCAGAGATAGATTAAATAGTTGTAAAAGTTACATAAATGATGGCTTGGGATTCACATTAGGCAGTCAGGTGCTAGAGTCCAAACTGGCTGGATCAGAATCACCTGGAAGAACCCCATGCAAATCAATTTAACCCCAAGTGTGGTGGATCCAGTCCACCTCAGGTCAACATGAAGGTGAGCTCTGCAGGAAACCGGAAGCATTGATCTTATTTGGTGATCGGCCATTCGGCATGAAGTTGTCAATGACTTAGGGGACTGGGATAGCCACTAGCTGGATAAGAAGGGGAGAGGAAGGGTGAAACTGTGCTATTGACGCCATTCATTTCACTTTCCCAAAACTGTGTTGTTGCAAATCTATTTTAAACAAACCCCATTGCTTTCTACCTCTCCTAAATACAGAAATCATTGCTATAAAAATCAACATGTGCATGATAAGAGATTGGCTCCTCAGGGGGCCAATAGGTGGACAAGGAAGGCCTATGGAGTTTTTATCCTAAATTCTTCTCCTTGGCATTTTAGAAAGAAAATGTGTTCTTCATTATTGCTGCTGACACAAGATTTTACATTTGGGAGAACAGATGATCAATAATTGACTCTTGTTTTAAATTCGTGTGTGTCCAACTTCCTAAAGCAGAGATGGAGGATAATTTTTGGAAAGAGTCAAGAAAAAAAGTGGAGTCAATCCTGTCTTAGCAGAAGGGATTGGACAACAGAGGTGATTAGTGGAATCTGTGATTAGTGGCACAGCCTGGTTTTTCACCTTGAAGTCATCCACATGTTATTAAAAGTGCATGGCRGGCCAAAGGTATGGCTGTGATTTTCTGCCCTTCATTACTGGTGCAAACTTCTGCAATACCAGTAGAAGACAAATAGCTGTAGAAGAATGGGTAGCTTTCCAAATGAGAAAAAGAAATTTTTTTTTGAGAAAAAAGTCACAATAAAAATTGAACTTGTTTCTGTAAAGAAATTCTCTCCTGATTTCTTCTTGAGGTGATTARCCTCCAGTAATAGGGAACTTTAAAAAGATACATTATTACTATGCAAGGTGACAGCTGGCCCAGGCTGAGAGCTCAGGCAGGACAATCCTTGCCCTGCCCTGGCTGGGCAGGATTCAAGCAGGCTGGAGCCATTTACCTTGGAAGTGAAAGGTCACTTTTCTGGGCCTCTCTGCACCCCTTTTAGCTGAATAGACACACAATCACAATGACCTAGGCTAAGAATGTGTTCTTCATTATTGCTGCTGACACTGTGATATGTGTGTGTGTGTGAGTGTGTGTGTGTGTGTGTGTGTGTGTGTGTGTGTGTGTGTTTGGAATTTTGGCCAAAGTGGAAATGGAGTCAACACTCTCTAAAGATGGTGTGAGAAGTGGATGTGATTTTAGTCAACAGGAAAAGGGGTGTTTCCTCCTGTGTGGGGCAGTAGAAAAACCACAGAATGCACTCAAACAGACCCAGCACGAAAAACAGGGTAAGTGCAGAGGCTGTCTCTGAAGTTCAAGTTACTAACCTAATGGCTCTAGGAGGTTACTTAGCTTCTCTGAACTCCCACTTCCTGTATTATAAAATGGAAATAGACAAGATGAGCTAATGTTCTGCCTTAAATTATGTCTTTTTAATTTATTCATTGTGTGACATTTGGTAATGTCATTGGGTCTTGAATGTTCTCCTCTACAAAATTTCCTCCCTTTCACCTTAAACAATCAATTAAATGATTAAATAAGAATTAAGGGAGGATTAAATGAGAAAATGAGTATGAAAGGGCTTCATAAGTTCTGAAAAAAATAATGTGTGCATTAGGTATTGTTTCTAGAGTACGCCTAGCACTTCTAAGTTGATGTAGGTCACTAGGAAATAAAAGGCAGGACATGTAAGATAACTGGATAAGCTGTAGAGTGTGAGAAGGCCAGAGGATGATCCGGAGGGTCGGTTGACACTTTTCTTCATATTGCTTGCAGCATGTGACATCAGAGGAGGACAAACCTGGATGCTGAGGCCCCTGAAGATTCAGACAATGCTAGTCAATGCTATTTCCAGACCAGGAAATGTTAGTGTCCATAAAGAGGTACACACAGAAAATARGGAATAGATGTTTGAAAATTTTATGTTGCTCTGGCATGCAAATATGTGATCAGTGGGCTTATTTGTTTATTTTTCTTTTTTGAGACTTGGTTTGGCCAACCTACCTGGGCTAGCCTCAAACTTGAGATCCTCCCTGCCTCAGCCTACCGAGCAGGTGGGATTCCAGGTGTGCAACACCATGTCCAACTAATCGGCCTTAKTTTTTAAAGTGCATTTGTCTAATAACTTACTTTTATTTTATTTTATAAAAATATGGGTCACCAGTGCCTTAGGGGGGAAAAAATCGACTTTCTGTATGAATTGGAATCTAACTCAAGAAATGTGATCCACAGCGTTGATCAGGGTATGGAGGCAGCAAAACTCAGAAGGTTTTTGAATCAGTCACGTAACTTTGCATTTTGGTTCTCTTATTAGTTGTGTGAWAAAACATTTGACTTTTCTGTCTCTGTTTCTCTTTGTTAAATAGGGAAAAGTCCATCAGTCCTAAAAGGTTACAGTATGAATGTTAATATAAACAACATACAAGGTTTTCAATTAAGGATGGTTACTTCACATTCCTGGTTAAAAAAGCAGAGCTCTGGGAGGAGAGGGTCTCTGCAGTGAAGACAAGTGCCCTCCCTGACACAAGAGTTTAGGGGGCTGGCCCCAGGGACGTCGTTTACCTTAGTGTTGTATTCTGTCACCAGTCGAAGGCTGTTGGTCTCAATGAAAAGGCTTAATTTGGCAGCTTCCAAGTTTTCAACTTCTTCACCCTCTATTTTCAACTGTTCATTATCCACCTGGGAAGCACAAAGAAGGATCCAGTTGTCACCATTTTATCTTTTTTTTCAATAATTGCTAAATATTCTTAGACCACTATGAAACAAGCCTCCAGTAAAGCTTCAAAGACAGACAGAAAAGTGAGCCAGGAGGGTTTTCTGCCCTTGAGCGACATGTTTCTTTTTTAAAGATTATTTTTATGTAATGCAATTACTGATATATTTAATTATGAATTTTCCATTGGTTCTGCCTGTTCCAAATTCTACTTTTCTTCCTTTTTTGCTCAGTTTTGAATTGACTGAATTTATATTATCCCCCCACATTTTTTTTTTTTTTGGTTTAGAAGCCACACAAGTTTTAATTATTCCTTTAGGGATTACTGGCATGCATTATACAACATGAATTTTTACATATTAGAATCTAATATTAATTGGCTATTCCATCCTTATCTTGACTTTAGAACATTCTCATATAGTTTATCTTCTGACTTCCTTTCCTGACCCCACAGTTGACTTACAGATGCTTGTTTTGTGTTTGAATTATAAATCTCACAAGACATCATCATGATTATTATGTAGTTTACACTTAAATTTATGCACATATTTATATTTTAGTGTTTCTTCATTCATTCCTGCGTTTTTGAGCTTCTACATAGAATGTTACCACCCCTCTGCCTAGAGAAAACCTTTTAATATTTTCTTTAGTATCAATTAACTCTTGGGTGACAAATTCTCTCAATTTGGTTGTTTAACATGTGATTTATTTCAAGTTTRTTTTTGAAGTCTGTTTTTGCTGGTGGTAGAATTCCAAGTTGACAGTTATTTCCCTTTGTGTTTGAAACAATGTAATGCTCAGTATTTTGTGTTCTATTATTTCTAGTGATAAATCAGCTGTGACCTATTTCTGTCCTGTCGAGATTACTTGGAGGGTAGTCTTTTTTCTCTAGTTTAAGATTTTCTTTTCTTTTGCGATTTGGATATTATACTAGGGCATGGCTAAGGGTGRATCATACACATTTCATGTGTATACAGTTGTATGTGTATAAGTGTTTGTGTGCATTTTTTCATGATCACCCTAGTCCAGTTTCGAGGATAGAGATGATTTGTGTCTATGCTTTGCTGAAGTCCACGTGAGGGCTGATGTGCTTATGATGTATCCTGGCATTAGGTAAAGATTKTGGGATCCAAAGGAGATAGTAAGGACGTTTTACTAGATTTACTTCCAACTTCYCCTGTGGGGCCTGCACACCAACATTTATTCTGTTGTCCCTTTGAGAATCTCTCAAAAATGCTGATAAATGTCTCATCCTTAAACTGTTTTTTTCCCCCTAGAACTAGAAAAAGCCCCCAAGATGGAAAGCTGCACCCAATATTCTTAGTTTCCATCTTCTAGACCTTGGTCTAGACATTTTCCCTTCTTTTACAATAACCTACTTGTAAAAAATTATCTAGGTACCTGGTCCATTTTCTCAGATTTGTATTTTAGTGTTCCACTACCCTCTGTGCCATAGTTTGGATCTGGAATGCTCCCTGAAGGTCCCTGTATTGAGAGCTTGATTGTCAGCCTGTGGTGCTATCGGGAGGTGGTTGAACCTTTAGAAGTTGAGGCCTAGTATAAGAAAGCTAGGTCYCTGGGGGCATGGCCTTGAATAGAATATTTCCTCCTGGACCCTTTCTGCTTCTCTCTGCTTCCCAGCCACCATCTCTGCTCCATCACATGCTCCCTGCCATGATGTGCTGCCTTGCCACTGGCCCAAAAACAGCAGGTTAATTGATCATGAACTGAAACATCTGCAATCATGAGCCCAAATAAACCTTTACCCTTATTAAGTTGACTATCGTAAACATTTTGTTGCAGTGACAGAAGGCTGACCAACACAGGAACATTAAAAGATAGAACTTCATGATTCTAGTTCTTGTTTCTAGATTTTCCATTATCTTCCCTCAGTCTACTTTTGCCCATAACAACATAAGATAATGCTTCCATTGCCTATAGCAACTATGCGTATAGATAAAATCACCAGTGTCAGCCCCTGAACAATTTTGTGCATTTCCTAAAATAGCTTGGGTTGCTTTTGAGATCCCTGGGCACCTCTTTATCTCTTTCCCCTTCATCTGTTATTTTATATGTGCTCTACCCAATCTGTTCTTGCCTTAGTTGAAAATCACCCTTTTATTCAAGATACTTTTTTCCCAGTCTACCCAACAAAATCAGAAACAAATTTCACTTTAGTTTACATAGGAGAGAATTTAGGGAAAGGGAAATTTAAGTCCCTACATAGTAAGAATCCAAGATTAATCTTTACTGTCATACTGGTGGTGACCCTTATTTTCTATTTTTCATTTCTTTTATTTAAGTTGATTCTCCATTGGGCTAATTAAAGGCAATATAAACTTCTGAAAAGCTCAATGCTCAGGTTAAGATGACCCATAGGGTTAATTTTATTAATCCTGGATATTTTGTAGTCATTCTCTTATAACCCATTTGTTCTAGAATTATTCATCGAGCACCTGCTATACGTTTGGCATGCAGGCTCAGATTGCCACCATTCACTTAAAAGACCAATTAAGTGCTCTTTATTTTAAGACCTTTGTGAAATTTAAGTTTATGAAATAAATACTACAGAAAACGTTCTTATTTCTGAAAAAGATTTTGAAAAAAAGTCATCCAAACCACAGAATATTTTAAAATGTGAAGTCTCTGTATACATAACTGTTTTTAAATTCACAAAGTTCTAAGTAGATTACTTGGGAAAGAAAGAAAAAAAGCAAAAGCAAAAGTCTGAGGTGGAGACCTTACCCAAATTTCTACCCCCATCCCTACCCTGAATTATTAGAATGAGTGAAGAAATAAAATGAACACGCAGAAAACACGGGACATTTGAGGCTCTTCTGGATCTTTAAGCTGCTGAAGACCAGATTGCCAGCTGGCCTGTCTCCTTCATACTTAAGACTTTGCTATTGCAACCACCAAAATCATCATTATTACAAAAACAATCAGGGCCCTTTTAATATCAAATATGTCTAAATGCTTCCTGATTATTTTTCTAGGAAATCTTAGGCCTGGCGCCTGAGCCCCAGCTGACCTAGCTGTGGGGTGGGCCAGGAGTCCCCTCCCGCTCCCTTTTCCAGGCAGTACTTCTCATTTCCCAGAACAGGGAGAACAGGAAGCCCTGGTTACTCCAGGTGTTTCTGGACCTAAGGAATGCGGTATGGGGAGGCAGAGGAGGTGAACTGATGATAACATTCCCTGAGCAGAGAAGGAGGTTTAATAAAAGCCACCCTCCCACAGTCTCTTGGGTTTGTCGTACCTCTTTTAACAAAACGTGTCCAATGACTGCATTGTTTTTTAAACTAATGAACTCTGGAACATTTATGTGTAGGGTTACTGGAAACAACATTGGGGCAGAAAATCTGCCTTCTGTGAAGATAATTATTTGCATRATGCACTGGAAAGAAAATCTGACCCTGGAACCAAGAACATTTTTTAAAAATATACTTCTCCAGTGTTTGGAAAGAATTTTACTTAAGATATCCTATTATTTTTTTCTTCACAAGAAAAGGGATACAACATAAAAGCAGAGCAGTAAAATGGGACGGTTTCTAAGCATTCCCCTGGATTATCTGAAGGAAATGTTTTTGTTTTGTTTTACATATTATATTATCAATTGTTCCTTTCCTGTTTTTTACTATTTCAGTAACATTTGTTTGAATTCCTTTGGATTTCTCTGACAACACAGCTTTTCAGAAAATGTATTAAAAATCATCTTAGTTTACACTCAGTTAAATACCAAGGTATTAAATACCTTGGGTGGCAGTGAAAAAATCATTTGTTAAACAGTTGCCCTCATGCCCCTGGGTTTGTTTTCCTAAGCTGCTCATCTTACTGCTAGTGCATATTTTAGAAAAAATGTTTTAATAACTTGACATATATTGCTTCATGCATTTCTTATCAGTTTATTTTTATGCACTAGTTCCTTCTGATTCTCTTTGCCTGGTAAGTTACATTTCTTATAATAGGCACCCAATAAATAACTGCAAAAGGAATAGAGAATGACTTACTGTGCTTCTTTTACTATCCATTGGGTCAAAGTTAGGCTAATTATATTTTTTAAAAATAGAAGTGACTGAGAAGACCCAAAGCAGGGGAAGCATTCAAATAATATCCAAAGTTCCATTTTAGGACAGATTCATTCACCCCAGGGATTTCATCTGTGTTCAGGAAACAGTAAGAATCCTTTGGGAGAATGTAGAGGTCTCTCTGTGGTCACACAAAAGGCAGACTTCGGCCCCCAACAGCCCTGTCGTGATCTACGGCTCAATATTGTTCCCTGAATTTTACTGAAACTAAAAACATTCATCTAAGTCATCCCTATTTTGGAGAATGATATGTTCCATAAATACAGCTTATTCTGGCCTTTTATTTCTCCTACATCTTAATCATCTATAATATCATTAGTTTTTCACTTAATCATGATTTCAGCTTATCTTTAAATATGTTCTTCTAATCGCAAAAGCTGTAAGTCTAAATTCTGAAATTTATTTACCAAAATATAGAAAACCTAGATTAAATCTTGAGATATGATCCTGGCTTTCAATTGATTAGTGACACAGGAATAGGAGAATGGTTTAGGAGAAAGTAGTTGAAAAGAAAGGTATGGGTTACAGAACAAGGGATAAAGAGACAGAATCCAGTGTGAAAATGAGGGTTTTCTTTAGGATTAAGTGCTTTTAGAAAGCCTTGATAGCATAATAGAAATGGTATGATTTGAGATCAACAGTGCTGGGTTTGGAGTCAGACATCTGTTCCTTTCTAGTTTTGAAACTTCAGAGAATTGAATTGATTTCAGAGCTCTATTTTTCTTACTGTCAATGTAGGGATAACAATCTTCATCAAATGCTTGTGAGAATTGTAATAGAACCAATCATAGATTAGACACACACACACACACACACACACACACAACTAGCAAACAACTAAAACATAACAAACTGTGGATCTAAGATGAACAAAAGTACCAGAAAATTTGTGATAGGTTTATATTTCCCAAATCCTAAAATTTTAAGGGGTAGTGCCATCACCACCCCTTTAAAAAAAGTTCTTCTAAATTCCTGAACAATGATCCTTTTAAAATGTGTACTAAATTTTTGAAAGAATAAACTGAGAAAGAAGTGTTTATCTAAAAGCTGGCACCACATAAGTCKAGCCTCTCCCAGCCTGGCCAGTGAAGTGCGCAGGAACCGCTGTGTTGGTTTTTGGTATGGCACATAGATAATCGGGTGCACAGAGGTCTCAGGAGTTCATTTGGAGTAGGTCCATAACTAGTGGTAAACAGAAAACAGATGCTAGGGAGGAGTGGAAACCTCTGAGAAGTCATCAAGGGGCTTTACAAAGACTAAGTTGTAAACAGAGCTCATGTTCCTGTTAAAGAGTGTGAAGCCTGGAGAGCAGTTGGAAGCAACACCTGTGTTTTCCTTCCCGGTGGGTGTATCTTCTGAAGGCCCTTCATTCAGGCCTTCTTAAGATCTACAAACAAAAAACTGGGGAAGGTGAGCCTGTGGAACTGAAGTTGATGAGGACGTTGCATTGAAGGATGACTCTCAATGGTTCGATGGCAATGGGAAAGACATCTGCCTCACCGTCCATGTCTGCCTTCACAACGTTTTTCACAATAAGGCTGGGTTTCATTCTGTTTCTCCATAGTGAAAATATAGACTAGCAACTATTGTGCAAGTGGAAAAGTGGCTCAAAGGTGCTCTTGTAGCCTCAGACATACTTTGGGAGGTGAGTTTGGTTTCTCAAATGCTTCTTGGTACCTTTTAGGTGTTACAGGCCCGTGGATGTGGAATACAAAAATGAGACATAGAGGGATAAATGGAAATAGAGATATGGATATACAGAGGAATGCTTAGGCTGATTTGGGGATTCCAGAGAGGCTCTCTGAAGGACAATATGCCTGAACTGATTAACCTGAAGTATGAGGAGGAGTCAGCAGGGTGAGGCCCGGGGAAAKGGAGTCCTTGAGCTAGAAACATTCTGGGCAGAGGGGACTGGATAATCATCATGCGTATAATTGGGGACTGAGAGAATAAATGCCAGGGTAGAAAACTGCTAGAAAAGGGACTAGAAAAGCAGGTGGTGGCTCCGTCAGAAGAGGCCATAGGTAACACTGAATATCTTGCAAAAAGTGGGAAATGTTGAAGAAGTTTTAAGAGAGGAATGCCTTGGTCGAATTTCCATCTTAAAYATGCCATAGTGGTACCAGTCTTGAAAATGGATATGAAGCAGTAAAAGGTGATCAGTTAAGAAGCAATTACAATCACAATGAAAATGATGCTTGGAGCCTAAATGGGAACGAAGTAGGAAGAGTGGAGTAATATAGATTCAAGATAAGAGGTACAATTGGCAARAGAGAGAGAGTGAATGAACATAATCATTCAATAAAATAGTGTATTAGATGGGGGGAAATGATTTAGCAGGTGCAGACAATAAATTCAATTTTGAGCATGTCAAGAGTATAGTGCTTAGGATGGCATAAAATGGTTATCTTCAAYGAGCATTTGAATTATGAGAGAAGTCCATGTCATAGTTAAAATATCCCAAATCCTCTGCAAACACATCATGGTCAAATATGAATTAGTTTGCTTAAGGAGAACATAGACATTCATTAATTGATTCACTCATACGCTCATTCTCTACAAATATCTCACGAGCACCTGCTCCCAGTGCTGCCACAAGGCAGACACTATTTTAGGCTCTGTGGATTCAGAAATGAACAGACCATCTCTTGCCTTCACTGAGCACAGATTCCATAACCTAGACTGAGAAGAGCATTGGGTCAAGAAGTAGTATAGGTAGAGGAAGAGAGGGCTCAGGAAGACTAACAGAAGTAGGCTCCTAGAAGTCAAGAAAGGAGAGAACACTGAAGACAATATCAACCAACACTATCTATATGGCAGAAATTTTGAGCAAAATAAGACTGAAAAAGCATTTTTGCTTGGCCACACAGAGGCTGGGCTGACCTGAGTGAATAGAGCTTTCATGGAGCCATGGGGCATATACTACCTAACAGTGCCCAGCTGAAATGAAGTCTGAGACACTGAGTATAACATACTCTTAAAGGAAGTTTGAATGAGAAGTGACCATGAGAAAGAAAAGATGGCAGCCACAGGGAGAGAAGGGCATTTGGTTCAGAAATCTTGAAAGCTCTATCCTGGGCTCTTGTTCTCATTTTCAGCATACTCTTGACATCTTTACTTTGACATTTCACCAGGTATTAAAAGTCAACAACCAACTAAAGCAGTAATAATCCCTATTTCTGCATATGCTTTCACTATTCCTGGACACCCTGGCTTTAAACTTTATCATCTTTCTGTAATTTTGATGTCTATTATTTGCTGATCATTTACTTAATCTAATTATCTAGACATCAATCTGCTTTTCTTTAATTTTGACCTCTCTACAGACCCTTAATACCTACCCAAATCACTCTCTTTTTATGCCTACTAATTCATCCCACCCACCATTTCTCTTACTAAAACACATTCCTATTCATGTTACTCCTATGATCTAAACGTTTTGGGGCTTTACGGTACCAACCAAATTTAGTATAACCAAATTAAATGGTATTCTAATTTCTCCACAGTATGTGTTTAAACAGTCTTCTCTATTTTGTATTACTTTCTGCCTAACATGTACCCTGGAATCCAGTCAAATTGGCCTGGTCATTGATTTCTAATTGAATTCGATTATTTCCCCCTTGGCCATATGGGTTTTTATCTCTCCTTTACATCCCAGACCAGTGCTCTTCTTCATATTTTTTTTTTCCAGAATTCCCAGTTTTTGTCCCTTGAAGCTTGTAACACTTTATGGTCACACTGTTTACACTGGATACTTGAGTATTGGTTATAATCTATACTTTCAGATCTATGAAAGCAAAGATTTTTCTCCTTTTAATTTATAGATGAAATAATTGAAGCTAAAAGTGCTAAGTGAGTTGCCCAGCATCTGGTGGCCRGTGAGCCACCAAGCAGCTCTTCAGAATCCTGTTTCCCGATTCTCACTTGAGTCTTCTTTCCACTTCATCACAGCACCTGTTTGGCAACTCTTGGTTGAGTCACCATCCTTGTCAACAATGTCCCTGAATTTGGCACCAGCATTAGTGTTAAAGACATAGAGTTCTTTCCAGTCCCACAAGTTTATGAGTCCACAACCTGAACAAAACTTGGGAGGAGGCTTAGGTTGTCCACCCAACTTACCAGACGAAAGAGGGAAATGGAGTTCCTGGTGATGTTGTAGTGGGCCAGGACCTCAGAGTTATTGCTGATTCCAAATGACACATCTTGGAATTTTTGCACCATGCTATGGAATACAGACACTACTGGTATTTCTAGATCCTAAAAACAAGAGGGAAAATAATGCATAGGGATTATTTTGGAAGGAGAGAGAAAAAGAATAGAGAAGTAATATGCTCACTCAAACCAGAAGTCATAGAATTAATTTAGTGTTTAGTGAAAAAAAATTATCCTCTAGAACATAGGCTAAATTTGCAGTGGCATTTTGAGTTTTCCAGGATATGGCAATTAATAGGTTACTACTAAAATTGTGGCTAAGCCTGGGATTTTTGTCTGGCCTTATCATAGAGCTGAAGTTTATTAGTAGTCAAGAGGCTTCAAAATCAGAGGCCTGTGGAATTGGGCTATATTGACATTGATTACTTGAGGAGACAAATGTTTTGGAGACTATTTGTGGAGAAAAGAGGAAATGCAAAAATAAGAAATAGGTGCTATCAAAGGGGCCAAAAAAAATGAGAAAAGAAATGAGAATGGGGGAAGCTTAGAAATTTCATTAAGAATGGTTTGTGTAGGATATGGGACAACAGGTCCCTCTTTTCAAACCTCTTTCCTGAGCATGAAGCTGTGTGCTTTCCTGAGCTTTGTGCATGAAGATACTTTTCACGTGTCCAGCTCTGCAACCCAGAGGTCAGGGAGCAGGGAGGTCACTTCTGAGTGCTGAAATGGGCATCATGTCCCTGCTGCCACACAATGTTTGCCCATAGCAGCTCCAGGTGATGAACAGGTATGAGTRTGTTCTACCCTGCATCTCCCTTGGCTGAAGGTGATATGCAAGGAGAAAGAAGATGGCTAACTTAGCATTTGGGTTCAAGTACAGGAAGTTGGTAGCTTGCTCTTCTGAAAGGCCAACTAGAGTTTGGTAGAGGGTGTGAACACTTGTTCACCCAGGCTTCTTCCTCTTTTGTGATCTGCTCTTTCAGATGGAATTGCTCAAGGATCCAATGATGGCCTCTGGTGGCTGTTTAAGTCATTGCACACTCTTCCAGTTCACGCTTGCTCTTTCCTAGCTTTCTGAGTGTGGCTGTTTCTGTCTACATCTCTCTCACTACTGGAAACTAACTGCTCCTTGTCTTCCTTCCACAATGCATCTCCTCACAGCTGCTTCCAGCTGTGTACACCACGGACAGGGTAACCCTGAGTTGGGATCAATGAGTGGAAATAGGCAAGAAGGTCTGTAGCGAGGAGAGTCGGGGCAGGATCAGCTGTGGAAATTGCCAGATGCCGCCACCAGAGAGTGCTGGAAAGATGCCCTCTCATTATTGGCTGCTTTRGTTGGTCAAGCAGCCAATCTGGAAGATGGAGGTTAATACCTTCAACATATCAAAGTCATCATTTTTCAATATTTCAGAGAAGGCAGAGACAAGGAAGAATGAGGGTCTACCAAGGGAAAGATTTTAGACAGAGGTAGCTAACACTTTGGAGCTTTGGCACACATAGAGAAAGTGTCGCCTGTATTATAAAAGGTTTATGCTTGCTTCTGCCTGTTTATATGAGAGAATAGACAAGGGCATTTAGAACAAGAGCAGGGTTTGCTTCAGGTTTTCTTCCTGCAGATACTAACTTAGTTTCCAACTATCTGGGGACAAGGAGATCCAACCAACAGACTCAGAACTCTTTGAAGCAAGTAGGAGAGAGACCTAATGTGGAGACTGAGAATACTGTAAAATTTAAAAAGTCTGAATACTGTAAAATTAAAAAGTCCGAATTGATAAGCCGATTCTGAGCCCCACTACTTCTAAGGCATTGTCATCTGGACAAGAGGCCACCACCATGGCTCCCTGGAGGAAAACGTTGCCTGGCTCATGGGGACACAGCAAGAGCAATATGTGGACAAACCTGGAAGAAGCCTACGATTGCCACCTCAGCAGCAGAGATGAATTCCTCAGCAGCTGGGACATCTGTGAGCCATATAGGTCCCTGGGCAGTCCCAGGACCATCTAGAGAGAGAAGCAAAAGATGTCTGGATTCTGCGGTAAAGAAGCAGCTSTGTAAGTGCAACTCATCTAAGGCCAAGGAGATTTTAATTTCTTGGAAAGCTGTTACCATTCCAAGGTTTTTTAAAAAAAATCTAACATATGGAAGTGACTTCCCCTTATGGTCACTCTCTGAAGGATTCTGTTAAACTTCTCTTTGCAAGGCAACACACATCTTTATCATCTTTATCCAGCATATTTTTGAAAAAACTTTCCAGGTTTAGAAGGAAAGTACCCAGAGAGCTATCACACTCCCCTCCCTTCTAAAATTTTTCCCTTATGGTCATGCAAGTGCTTTCCATTTTACCTGAGGGCTCTTCAACTTCTCCAGCAACTTCTGGGGCCAGTTCACACGTGAGGAGAAATAAGAGTAACAGGCACCTGGAGCAGCTGGCTTCCATTGTTCTCCTCCTGCTCCAACACTGGACTCTGTATTTGGGGATGCCAATCCRGGGCAGCCCACTCTGTGGTTAACTCCCTGTGCTTTGGGAACTTTGCAGCTGGCTGTAGGGGAACCTTCAACTTCTGAGATAAATGACCATGTTTAGTGACAGGGCCTCAGAATATAACCAATCAGAGTCTGACAGGTTCATTTGAATAAAAAAGGTTATGTACTCTCTGCCAAGTATTGACCTAAGCACTAAGAACACAAAGATAACTATGGATCCACCCAAGCCTTCCCAGCTGAGGTTGTTCATGGGAGAGATGGACACATAAGCAGATCATTTAAATATAAAATAGAAAGTGATAAAAAATAGAAAAAATCCATAAGGTACCCTGGTTAAGTAAGATTTTTACCAGCAACACAAGAGAATGATTAGTCATGGAGAATTTCAGGAAGGGAAAAATAATTGTGGGCAGAAAGGCAATGCTGGGACATGCTGGCAATCATTCTTTCTACGATAAGCAAAGCAGCCGAGTATTGGCTTCATTTTTGTAGGTGACGGGAACCTACTGAAAAGTCCTAAGCATGAGAGAAACTATGTTTGGTTTGGCCCACAAGTGCCTATGGGAAATCCAAGATAAAATTTCCACAGGCCTTGTGATATATAGGTCTCAAGCTTAGGAGAAACTCCCATAAGTAAATAATTATGAAAGAACTCAAATTCAAAGTTTTCACCATCTGTATTCTGAACGCTCATTACCCAATGTACTCTAGTAATCCATTCCCAAGGATGTAAATACGCCCAGAACTGTGGACCCCCAACCCCATTCCTCAGGAAAACTGGAATGTGAGCCCTTTGGTCACCATATTTGTTGGATAGAAGCAATCAGGGAAATGAGGGTCTCAGTCAGAACAAAAAGTAGTTGTTTTATTCTTACTCTCTTGTGTTGTTTACAGTAGTATCTCCCACAAAAGAAGAACCCCMACTGGCAGGGCAGGTGACAGGGCATGGAGCCAGCAGCAACAACCAAAGAATCCAGGAATTGGAATAAGCTACTAAACCTAAGGCAAAAGGACTGTTCGTGGTAGTTTGCCAATTTCCTGGCCTCTGGTTGCTCAGACAGGAAGAAGAGAGGGAAAGGTTAAAGGARATGGAGAACTTGAAAGAACTGGCTCTGACTGGGGGTCCGAGGAAGCAGGCAGGGTAGGCCTGAGTATGAAGCCTCAAGGGCAAGGGTGGGATGAGGTTCATCCATGTGGAAATGTGGGTGATGTTGGAGAAGGAATCTAGCTGTGAACAGGAGGGAGGAGGGACAGGGTACCCTTGTGACTAGGAGGATTCTGGGTGGCAAGGGGAGGTTGRGGGATGGGCAGATGCGCTCATTCTGTCCAATCCTTCTTAATGGACAGGTTCCACTCCCAGGTGAGGTGGTCTTGCTTGTCGTCATCGGTGAAGAAGGACTTGTTGTGGTATGTGCCCCTGGCCAGCATGCCCTTGGGAGCCTCCTCAGTCGGGGTGAGGAATTCATACTCCTCTGGCCGAGGCCCATAGCTGCCAACCATAAATGTTGCTTTATCCACTAGGAAGAAAGAAAAGTTCATGAGGGTAAGAGTGGGCTAGAAGAAAAACACACACTACAAATTAGGGAATTTGGTGGACAGCCTCTATTAGAGGAAGCCAAGGACAATAGTTTCCAAGCCTGGCTGAATGTCAGTTTTACCTGGAGCATCTTGTTTTCCTTCACATTTCTGTTTTATTAAAGGGACTTTCAATAACAGTTTCCTTTGTCTCTCTCCCAAAGACTGTGGTTSAGTAACCTGCTGTGGGTCCCAAGAATCAGTGTTTGATGAAAGCATCACGGCTCATTCTGATTATCAGGAAATTTGGGAATCCAGGCTCTTTTGATGTAGCAGATTATACCATTTGAAAAATTTTAACAAGTTGATACCTCAGGTCTGGTCTCAGCATTGCAACTACCTAAGTCACCTAATGTTTTGGGCCTCTATTTCTCTATATAACAAACTTTGAGGACTGTTGTCTACAAGCTATCATTCTATGAACATATTAACTGGAGGAGATATTACAACAGGTAGTGATCAGAATAGGCAGAATTCATGGATGCAATAATTGGATGGAAGGAAAAAATCAGCAAGTTGGTAAAAAATGAAGCATTGTGGCAAATGATGAAAATAGCTAAACAAATTTATTTATGGGTGAATAACGGGATTAGAAAGTATAAATAAAGGTAAGGAGCTTCACAGGTAGTATATAACTGGCCCTTTAAGCGTTAATATATTTGCAGGAACAGCTACAGACACATAATCTTCCTCTTGCCAAAGTGAATCAACATGGTTTTCTATGCTAAAAGGGAATAGGAAATTGAACTATTCATTCATGAAATCAGGAGTAGGAAAGTCCAATTAGTCTCTTACTGGTCAACAGTTTTCTCTGGGATTTGAGTAATTGATCGGTTCTGCTGTCAAGTGAATTTATCCACGTCTTCCGGCTCCATTGTTTGTTAATTTGTGGGATTAGCCTGTGCAGTACTGTTTCCCCCCTGTGGGGAAGAGAGTCTGGAGCAGAAAGGAACTGTGAAAGTGCTTCTGTCACTTTCCCATCTTTTCCTCTGAACCCATATTAATCAAAGAAAACTGAAGGCGAGTTCCTGATGCATGTCAAGAATAACAACAGAATAAATAACATGGTTATACTATTTTTTTCACTTAGATAGCTTTTCTCAACCCTATAAAGATTGACTTACTTAAACTAAAAAGTTTTTTCTCAGCAAGAGAAACAATAAGAGAGGTAAATAGRGAGCCTACATCCTGGGAACAAATTTTTACCCCTCACACTTCAGATAGAGCCCTAATATCCAGAATATACAAAGAACTCAAAAAATTAAATAATAAGATAACAAAAACCCAATCAACAAATGGGCCAAGGACCTGAACAGACACTTCTCAGAGGAGGACATACAATCAATCAACAAGTACATGAAAAAATGCTCACCATCTCTAGCAATCAGAGAAATGCAAATCAAAACCACCCTAAGATACCATTTCACTCCAGTAAGATTGGCAGCCATTCTGAAGTCAAACAACAGCAAGTGCTGGCAGGGATGTGGGGAAAAGGGTACACTTGTACATTGCTGGTGGGACTGCAAATTGGTGAGGCCAATTTGGAAAGCAGTATGGAGATTCCTGGGAAAGCTGGGAATGGATCCACCATTTGACCCAGCTATCGCCCTTCTCGGACTATTCCCTGAGGATCTTAAAAGAGCATACTATAGGGATACTGCCACATCAATGATCATAGCGGCACAATTCACAATAGCTAGACTGTGGAACCAACCTAGATGCCCTTCAATAGATGAATGGATAAAAAAAATGTGGCATCTATACACAATGGAGTATTACGTGGCACTAAAAAATGACAAAAGCATGGAATTTGCAGGGAAATGGCTGGCACTAGAGCAGATTATGCTAAGTGAAGCTAGCCAATCCTTAAAAAACAAATGCCAAATGTCTTCTTTGATATAAAGAGAGCAACTAAGAACAGAACAGGGAGGAAGAACATGAGGAAAAGATTAACATTAAACAGAGACGAGTGGGGGGAGAGAAAGGGAGAGAGAAGAGAAGGGAAATCATATGGAAATGGTAGGAGACCCTCAATGTTACACAAAATTACATATAAGAGGTTGGGAGGGGAAAGGGGGGGGAAACAAGGGAGAGAATTGAACAACAGCAGATGAGGTAGAGAGGGAAGATGGGAAGGGAGGGGAGGGGGGATAGTAGGGGATAGGAAAGGTAGCAGAATACAGCAGTTACTAATATRSCATTATGTAAAAATGTGAGTGTGTAACCGATGTTATTCTGCAATTTGTATTTGGGGTAAAAATGGGAGTTCATAACCCACTTGAATCAAATGTATGAAAGATGATATGTCATGAGCTTTGTAATGTTTTGAACAGCCAATAAAAAAAAGAAAAAAAAAAGAAAATTGAACACTGCCTTCCACGATCCTGTTCCCAACACCATAGGCCTTTCCTGCCTTGCATTTCTCTGACACTTGAGTTTTTCATCTAGGATTTTCTATTTTACTTTTGTGAGTATTTTTATGTCCTTTATCTCATGCAAACATAATTTGGTTATTTTTCCCATATGAATAATGGAGCTGAATTCCAGAAGCTGAGTGTTGAAGGTCAATGGATGACCCTATCTAAACTAGATATCCCAAATGTTGACCTTGCCAATAACGCCTAGGTCAGAGGTATTGTGTGCCTTTTCATAGGGCGGGCCTCCACAGCTTTTCTCAGATTCTTCTAAGAGTCTATTACTAAAATTTGTTAATAATCAGAGAGAAGCAGATTGAGATAGTRTAAAGTCTGGATTCCTTACCTTTCAGCCCAGTCCGGTAGGTGTGCTGGACATACTTCAGGCCTGACACAATATCCTTGTTCACCTGTTAGTGGGAAGGATCCATAATTCCATTATTTAATTCAGATTAAAAACAGGCTTTCACTTTTCCTCCTCTTTCCTACTGATCCTGCCTAGCTGTCTTCTCTGTGGATGAAAAAACTAAAGATTTAATCAGAATGAGTATGCCTATAATTACTTGGTGTGATCGCAAGGCAGAAATTGGAGAGAAGAGATCACAAGATTCAAAGTTGCCAATCCAATTTTAAGCATTCAGTACTGTCACTTTTATTGTTTGGGAGGAGAGGGGTGGTTAATTGAAACATTGTTCCAATATTCTTCATCATATTCCTCCTTCCTCAATGGTCTAATAGTCTTGAGCTCCCCTTCCTCAATATTACCAACCAAAAGACCTTCCTTGTCTCAGGAAAGGTTATGAAAATACCAATGGGAAGTATTTTGTAAATATCTTAAAACCGTCACCTCAGAGTGACCCACTTAGCATATGAAAAACAAATGACAAGGAGAAAAGTGGTAATGGAAAACCAGGTCTGGGAGATGGTCATGACCACCATTTAACTGAGTCTGGACTGGGAGTGA